GAGCAAAGCTGGGGCTTTTTTTTTTATATATGCTAGATATAAGCCCATCAAGCTGCTGGCCGTCCTGTTCCCCTCCCTTCTGTCCCCAGCTCTGTCCTGCTGTTTTCCCCGTCGGACCCCAGAGCAAGCGGGGCTGCCTGCCCATACGTAACCCTGCAGATAAGCCAGCCGTTTCTGGCCTGCGAGGCGGCTCGTGGGAGATGTGGGCTGCAAGATGGTGTGTCCCAGCAATAGCTGCCTGTGGAGTAGCTGGGCTCAGTCTTATAAAAGCACACCCTAATTTTGACTGACCTGAATGCTCTCGTGCTCTCTTGCCGTTCTGGTGTACCATCATGCAGTCCCTGCTGCAGGTTACAGATAACTACATAAAAAGGATGCCATTCCTCTTCTCTCTGCCTGTATGAAACCTGCTCATTTTTCCTTTTTGTCTCTATTTTCCTCACCCGAAATCTCCTTCCCTTTTACCTGACATCAGTAGTTCTTGCATTAATGCATAATAAGGAAGACAAGCCTAGAACCCGCTGATCCCAGCTGAGGTTTTGGCTTCAAAGTATTAATGGAAAAGACTATCAAGAACCCTCAAGATCAATGTTTTGTGGAAAAAGTTTCCCAAACTAATCCAAGAAAGGATCATAGTGTAATCTTTCTTTGAGGTTGAAAGGAGAAAGTACTAATTTCATGCAGAAAAGATTGTACCTCCGACAGGCGTAGGAATAGAAAATAAATAGGTATTAAATTACATTTGGCTGTCTCAAAATAATCTAATAAAGCATCTGCTGGATCAATAGTTGAATCATTATCCAGGGCACATAGCAAGCTTTCCCTCTTTTAATTTGAGATGCAAGAAAGAGGTTTTTACATTACCATAATAAAAAGAACAATACTTTAAGCCTTCATAGGAAAAAGGCAGAAGTAGGGGGAAAAAACCAAGAATCACACTTCATGCCTTAAGCAAGTGTCATTTTTCATTTGAAACATAATTTAGGGATATTGTGAAATAAAGTTTTTATATTTAATAACTGCCAAGCTGTCAGCTTTGCTGAGCTCTTTGACAAAAAAAAAGCCCAACCCAGGGTCTGTGAAGAAGACTTTGTGTGCGGGGAAGAGGGGAAGGGCAAGACAAGGCTTTTAACAACTTTGTTCT